TTTGCTTTTAAAAAATTTAATTTAATTTAATTTAATTTAATTTAATTTAATTTAATTTATAATAATTATTTATCGAAAATTGTAAATTAATAAATATTAATAAATGCTTAATAAAAAAAGATAATAGATTTTTTTTAAAAAATAATTGCTTATTTATATTGAATAAAGAATGCCATGATTAATAATTAAAATTTTATTCTAATAAAAAATATTCAAAAGAAATTTATTATTTTAAAAATAACTTAAATTTAAAATAGGTGAAAAAAACATATAAAATATTTTATCATTTTTTTATTTGAAATTTTACTTTAATTTTTATGAAGTTTTTTTTTTTAAAATTTTTTTTTATAAATCTAATATTTCACAATTATCATTATTAAACCAAACTATAAATTGTAATTCCGTTATTCAGAAGAATATATTTTTATATTTCTTTATCAAAATAGGCAAAATTTTAATTAAATTAATATAATTTTTTAGACTGAAGAATAAAAAAATTTATTATTATTTTATATAAACAATATACTGACATAAATTTAACTTTAGTTATTAATATTATTTATTTTTATAGTTTTTGTTTAATAAAATAATTTGCTTATATAGATAAAATTAAATAATAAGATTTAAATTTTAAAATTCGAGACTTCTTTTTATTTAAAAGTACTGGGGAAAAACACAAATTATTCTTTTAATTAGAATTATTTACACAAGAAATCAAAAAATATATTAGTACACAATATCTATTATATATATTTATATATATATATATATTTTAAATATAATTTACATTTTGAATAAATATATATATATACATAAAACAAAAACAATAAATAAATAAAAAAAAATGAATTAAGAAGAATTTGTAAATAAAAAAAAAAATATAAGAATGTAAATTATGGTTATAAAAATATAGATTTATCAAATATCCAGTAAATGTGGCAATTTCTTTAAAGAACTATAAACTCTATGCCTTTAATATAATAGTACATTTTTTTTTATCTTTTATCTTTTAGTTTTTGATTTTTTATTTATTTTAAAATAGAATAATCTTGTTTCTCTAAAAAAATGAGCAATAGAAGCAATAAAAATAATGAAATCAAAGATCCTGATTTGCCTAAAAAACCTTCAACAGCATATATTCTTTACTTTAAAGAACATAAAGATAAGTTTATGAAACTTTATCCTAACTAAGTAATAACAGAAATAACAAAATTAATAGCTTAAGATTGGGCTAAATTACCTAGAGAGAAATAAATAGTAATAGAAACATTTAATTTATTTTATTTAATTAATAAAAAAAGCCTTATTTGAGAGATGCGGAAATAACAAAATTTAATTATATAAGTAAAATGAAAGAATATGCAAAAACACATCCAGGAACTAAAATTCCAGGATAAGGAAATAAGAGAAATAAAAATAAAGGACCTATTTATTAAGATGTCCCTTAAGTAATATATATATATTTTTTTTAATTAATTTTGTGTTCAATTTATAATATAATACATGTTTTGATGTTTTTTTATATTTTTTGTGATTTTTTTATTAAGCAAAATAATAAATAATACTATCCATTTTTATGCCTTTATTTTATTTGATTAAGCTTTTAAAAAAACAATTAAGAAAAATAAAAAAATATAAAAACAAATAAATATAAATTTATTTATTTTATAATATTATTTTTATAACATTTAAAAAAGGATTAATTAACTAAATGTAGTGAAGGATAATCTAATTAAAATTAAGAATCTAATTAGTCAATATAAGTTTTAAAAGTTTTTGTTTATTTTATTTTATTTTATTTTATTTTATTATTTTATATATATTTAATTTTGATTATTTATAAAATAGCAAAATTAAACTATAATTTAAAGTAATGTTGAAGATGATATTAATATATAAGAATAATAATCAATAAAAACAAGTAGTATAGAAAGCTTCAGCTCTAATTAAGATTCAGATGAGGAAGCATAAGAAATTATTAAAAAAAATATTAAAAAATGACAATAAAAAGTGAAAATAAAAAAATTATTATCTATTATATAAAAAATCCTTAAAAAATTAATATAAGGATGTTTTTTTATATATAAAAATTTTATAAAAATTTCGATAAATACTATAAGATAGAAATAATAAATATATAAAAAAAATATTAATAAAAAAATTTAAATGAAAATATAAAAAGAATTAAATAATAAAAAATTATTTTAATTGATTAAAATAAATAAATAAATAAATAAATAAATAAATATATATATATATATATATATATTATTATAAAATTATTTTTTCTTTTTTTTTATTATATTTTATATATTTAAACAGTAAAATATTTTTAAATTAATATATATTATATATATTTTTTTCGAATAATAATTAATATATATTTTTTTTTATATAATATTTTTTTAAAAAATTTTGGACTAAGTTTGGATTTATTTAATTTAATATGTTAAATTCATATTGTATTAACTAGCAAAACTAGCAAATAACAAGAATATAAAGCCTATATCATAATCCTATATAATATGATATTTTTATTTAATAAATATAATAAAAAATAAAATAATCTAATTAAAATTTGTAATATTTTTTTTTAAATTTTTTATTATTATAATATTAGAAATAATTTTACAAAACATAGCTATGGATAAGACAGTTTAAATTTTTTAGAAAATAGTAGTTTAAGTTAAAATGCGAACAATAATTTTATATTTAATAATTTAATTTAGAACAGTTAAATATGTTAAATTAGTTAGCGCTAAATTTCCCCAATAAACAACAGTAAATAAAATTTAAATAGATAAAGAGAATTAAGTAAGTTTAGTAGGCAAAGTAGTGAAGATTAAAATTAAAAAATAATTTCTTCTATACATTAACTTGAAGGCGAATGGAATAAAATAAAAAAAAATCACAACTTAGATTAAAGAAGTCACCATTCTTCATTAAATACAAGCTTAAGTGGAAATAAAGTATTTATTAATTAAATACAAAACGTATAAAATATTGTAACTTAAATTTCTGACAGTAATTCTATTAATGAAATTAAGTAATTTAATATTTTTTTAAAATCATATAACAAAAAATATTAGATATTAAGATAATACAAATTCCTAAACTTCTTCATTAAAATCAATAGACAGTAAATATAAAATAATTTAATTTTAATAAAAATAAAGTGAAAGTAAATACTAAGATAGTATAAAAAAATCTTTTATTATAAATAAATCTATTCCTCTTTCGAAAATTAATCTTGATTAATTTAAAATTAATTAGTTTAGTTGCAGATCTATGGATGATTAAAATAAAAGTTTAAATAATGAAAAAAAAATCGAAGATAAAGAATATAAAAAAATAAAAGATAAATATTAAAATATTAATAAGAAAAAAGAATTAAATTAAATTAAAAGTAGTAAAAAGATTTCTGATATTTTAAATTAAAAATAATTTATTGAATATTAGAATAAAATAAATATAAATTAGGAAAAAAAAATACTGAAAAATTCACAAGCAACATTATCTGAGTAATAAAATGAATAAATATTTTGCTAATTAGAAAAAAAATTTAAATAAAATATATAATAAGAGAATTATTATAAATAATAATAATAATAATAATAATATTAATAATAATAATAATAATAAATATATTAACCTGAAATATAAAATTATAATCTTAATAGTCAATATGTTCTTAAGTATAAAGTGGTTTAAAATAATATACTATTAATTTATAAGAACTCGATATTTAGAGTAATGATTAAAATAATATGTAATAATCATAAAGCCTAAATAATATTAAAAAAATATAGATTCCTTAAAATGAAAATATTTATAATTATAAAGGTGTTACATCAAATATTAATCAACTTTTAATTTAACAAAAGTTAATAATATAATAATAATAATAATAATTAAATTATCAAAATTTTTAAATAACTAATAACGCTCTAAATAATAAAATTATTCCGAAATAAAATCAAAAAAATAATTAATTAAATGAATAAAAATATAAAAATTTGAAAGATGTCTCTAAAAAGAAAAATAAAGAAGATAGCTCAAAAAAAATATATCAATAATTTAAATAGTCTAAATATAATTTTTAATAAAAAACTTGTCTATATGTTATTAATATATAATAATAATAGAACGAAAATTAATAAACTTAATAATGTTCTTTTATTTCAAATGATAAACAACAGATAATTTAAATTGACTAATAATCGAAGCCTTTTTAATAGAGCTAAAAAGATTCCTTCCTAAAATAAAAACAATGTAAATTCTTATAATAATTACATAAATATTTTATAGTTAAATAATAATATTCATTAAAATATAAATTATTTTAATTAATAAGAATCACAATGTTAGCATTTTTAATAATAAAACTTAATTTACAATTAGAATGAATAGTCTATTAATTTTAATATTAATTAAAATGAATAGAGTTAAACAAATAATAAATTAATAGATAATAATTGTAAATTCTAATATAATCAGAATTCATTATTTATGAAATCTTCTTAAATTTCAAAGTAAACATATACATAAATATTTTTAATTATATTTATTTTTATTTATAATTATAGTGTTTCTGATAAAAAAAATAAATAAATAAAAGGAGTTACTAATTAAGATGGAATATATATGAAAAAAAGCTAAATTTCTTAATATTAATAAAAATAATATGCAACCAACAATTAACCATAAAATATTGCATCTTAAATATTAATAGGCAAATATAAAAGATGATTTTTTTTTGTTATATTTAAAATTATATATATTATTAAACGTAATAAAATAAATTACTATTAATATTAAAAATGTATTTTTTAAGAATAATAAAAATAAGATAATAAAATTTAATATAACTATAATGAAAAAAATAACAAAAGATAACATAAAGAAAATTATTACAAATATGAATTTACACTACACCTACTAAAATATAAATGTAATATTTTAATTTGAGTATGATTTTTATGAGTTTTTTTTTTTTTTTTAAATTAAATTAAATAAATAATAATAGAAAATATAATAATGAAACAACTAAAATAAAAATTTCTTCACAAAAAATAATCTGGAACTCTACGTGTCACATGAGGTTCGTTTGTCCTTGGAGCAGGTTCAAATTACATGCTTTTTATTAAATAAATAAATAAAATCAATTTAAATATATTTTTAAATACAAATTTAATTTCAATCCATCATCTACTTCCATTATCGCAGCTTAGTTGCCACATCTATAACAATAATTAGGAGCTGAAAATATTGTGACACATTTTTTTTAATGAACTTAGTTATATCCCTTTTATTTATTACAATTTATGTATAATTTTTATTTTTTAAAAGAATACATCCATAACAAGTTAATGAGCTCTTGCAATCATTTTAAGTTTATTTTAATGAATATATTTCTCAGAAATATCTAATCCCCAAGTCCATCCTGCACCTCTAGGTGATAATCCCCATCCTTTTAATTTATTTTTTATAAATATATATGTTTTAGATAAAATACCCGTTCTTTAATCATCAGGATCTGACCATAATAAATCACACATAGGACCCTCATGTGGCACATCTTAAAATCTATTAATTGAACGAATTTAATCTAGATTTTCTACAGCAGGTGAAAGTCCTCCATGTAAACAGAATATCTATATTTTAAATAAATTAAATTATATGTATATATATATATATATATATGTTTTTAAATAAAAACCTATGATTCTACAACTGCTGTTAAAGGTAAATATAAGAAAGCATCAGTAAAATATTTCCACACATTTTCGTTGCCATATTTTTTATTACATTCATCATAAAATCCATATATTTTATTAATTTCACGATTTTCGTGATTTCCTCTTAATAAAACTATTCTGTCTTTATATCTTACTTTCAAAGCAAATACTAAAGATACTGTTTCTACTGAATTAGATCCTCTATCTACATAATCGCCCATAAATAAGTAATTAGTATCCTTTTTTATTTTTAAAATTTATATAAATTAAATTTTGATTATTACTGGAGGCTTTCCTCCTATTTTAAATAGTTCTATTAAATCGTGGAATTAACCATGGACATCTCCACAGACTGTTATTGGAGCCTTACAAGTTGCAACATTTTTTTCTTCGGCTAATATTTCTTTTATCTATCATTTATTTTTATGTAAATAAAATTAATAGATTGAATAAATATATTTTTAATTATTTTTTTTTTAATATATTTATTGTATAAAAAATTAATAATTTGTTAATTTCTTTCATTTTTTTTAGTTATTATTAAGTTCAAATCTTAACTATAATTTTTTTTTTGTATTTTTAATACCTTATCACATAATATTTTTACATCTTATTCTGCTAATATTTTACATTAATATAATTATTCTACATATCGGTCAAAATTGCCTATTTCAGAAGATGAAAATTTTGGAGGCATTTTTTATTTTTATTTTTTTTATTTATTTATTTATTTATTTATTTATTTTATTTATATATTAATTTATAATGCATTTTTTATTTTTATTTAAAAAATGCTTTATATACATTAGACCAATTGATTTATTAAAAAAGAGGAAAAAAATATAAAAACATAAAATAAATTAAATAAAATTTTATATTATATTTTTTTTTAATTTAAAATATATTTTGTTAATTAATAAGATAACTATTTCAATATTTTTTATATTTGTTATTTTTATTATTTTATCTTTATAAGGAGATTTTTATCTTATAATATAAATTTATCATAATACAAACTATTTAAAAATGAAGATTTTTATTATTTAGAAATTAAAAATAAGTTATTTAATTGAAATATTTATTATATTAATAAAAAATATAATAGTTTAAATAACGATTGTTTTTAATCATTTTTTTAAAATTAATAAATTTTTAAGTTATATATTTAAATTTATAAAGTTTAAGCCTTTTAAGACACTAATTTTTTTATTTTTTTTAATTTAAACATAAATTTATATAATAATTATTAATAAAAAAAAATATTATAATTTCATTGTATCAATTAAATATTTTGTATTATTAATATTTGTACTTTTAGTTACCTTTTTTCTTCTAATTTTCACAATTTTATTTTATAACTATAATTTTGAAAAAATAAATTTTTTATTTTATATAAGACTAATTTATATTAAAATATATTATTTATAAATAATATTTTATATTAATATCTATTTCATAATAATATCTTTTTATATAAAAATATAAATTAAAAGTGTCTTTTATTTTACAAAAATAATGAATGAGTAAAATAATAATTTATTAATTATTTGTGTAATTATTTACATTTAGAAAATTAAAAATAAATAAATTGAATTATATTTTTTAATTTTTATTTTGATTTTAGTACTTTTATTTATTTTTTAATATAATTATTTATTATTTAAATATTTTTTTAATTTAAATAAAAAATGTAATTTATAATTCGATCTTATTTCAAAAGAATTAAGTTTATATAATTCAACAGGCTACTTAATCATGGATTTACATCTAATGCTGTATAAAATGAAGTTTTTTTTGAAAAAAATAATCATATAATTATAATATTAAAATATATAGATTATAAAAATAAATGAATATAATGAAATCTTATATGGTTTTAATTATTTATTTTTTTATGATAGATAATTTAACAAAAAAGGTCTATAAAATTAACAAGATTTAACTAAATAAGAATACATATAATAAAATGAAAACATTTTTAAATAGCTCGAATAAAATTCTTAAAGTTAAGCATTTGATAAAATTTAGTAAAATTTAAAGATATTTTATTAAGAAATATAAGACGGAATTGTATTTTTTATTTTTATGATTTGGATATAAATTTTAAAATAAAAAATATTAGATTAAATCAGATTAAGAAGAAATTAATGAGATTGCATGTCATTATTATTAAGAAAAAGGGAAATTAGTCCGCCCAACTTTAAATCTTTTAGTAGGAATGATATTATTTTAAAAAATTATAATTAATATTTTGAAAATGTAAAAAAGAAAAATAATAAAGTTATTTTTTACGAAATTAAAAAAAAAAAAGAAAGAAATGTTTGAAAAATAAAAGCTTTGGTCGGCAGTTATAGAAGTATACAAATATTTTATTCAAATAAATTCTGTATAAAAAAAATTAAAGAATATCCATGTTTCTTCATTAGTTCATGATGATATAATTGGTAAATATTTTTATAAAAATCAAAAAATTAAAAATATATAGATAATGCTTACACTAGGCGAGGTTAATAAACAACGCATGTAAAATATGGATATAGATAAGCGGCATTTTCAGGAGATTATATTATAGGAAGATCTGGTTAATAAATAATAAAATTTAATGATTTAAGAATGTATTAAATATATTCTAGTATTATGGAAAATCTTGTGAATGTATTTTTATAAAATTATATAAAAAAAAAATTAAAAAAGGGTGAAATGCAATAAGCCGGAATAAAAAAAAAAAAAAAAAATTTCCAAAATTAAATGGATTAAATATTAAAAAATTATCTTTTAAAAACATATTACAAAACTGCTTCTTTAATGGCTTATAGTGCTTAAGGAGTCGGGATTTTATTTAATCAAGAATAATAGAATTAAGAATAATTATTTAAATTTGCATAACATTTAGGTATTTATTTAAATAAATTTTAAAATATTTGTATATATGATAAAAAATAAAGGAATTAGCTTTTAATTAGCTGATGATATGTTAGATTTTACAAGTGATTCGGTTTCTTTAGGAAAAGCTGCTTTAGCAGATTTAAAAGAAGGAAATGTTACAGGCCCTATTTTATTTGCAATTTAAGAAATAAAAAATACTGATGAAGGAAAAAAAGTAATTGATTTAATTTAAAAAAACCCATAGAAAATGAGTCAAGAATAAATTGAACATGGTTTTTTTTTATATATATATATTTTATTTTTTAAATTTAGTTAATTAAATTGTCAAATAAACTAATGGATTGGAAAAAACTAAAAATTTGGCTTTAATACATAGTTAAAGAGCTTTAGAATGTTTAAATAAATTAAATAATATTAATAATATATAATAATAAGATGCTTATAAAAGTATAAAGCATCTATTAATTAATATTATTAAAAGAAAAAAATGAAATTTTAAAACAAATAAATTAAATATTCTAGAAAACACAAAAAATAAAACTATAAAATATCTAATATTTTTTTATTTTTAATATATAAGAATATGTATTGTTTTAAAATAAAAAATTAATTTTAATTTATTTATTACAAAATTAAATAATATTTTACTATATTTATTTATTAAATAATATTTATTCATTAATATTTTTATCATATTTTATTATTAATTAATTATATTTTGTATATATTATTTTATTGAAAATCAAATGATATTCTTTTTTAATTCTATTAAACAATTTTTATAATTTTTAATATTTGTTAATTATAAACATATATATATATATATATTAATTTAAATGAAAGCTTGTTTAATTTATCGTCTTAATGACGAATCTATTCTTTATTCAAATTCTTATAAAATTTAATTAAGTTCTGTAAAATATAAGAAAAAATAAAATATATCAAACTTTAAAAATCTTAAAAAAATATTAAAAAAAGGAATTATTAATCCAAAAATACTTAGAAAGTTTTAAAATAAATAATAAAAGTAATTAATATCATTAAAGTTAAATCACAGATTACAAACTAATTTATATAATAGACGAAAATAATATTTCTTATTTTAGTATTTATTTTTTAGAAAAAATGTATTTATTATATTTTTATGTTTATAGTTATATCAGATCCAAATTATAGTTAAGGATTATGCCATAACTTTTTATATGTAAAACTAAAAAATATTTAAAATATGTTTATTATAAAATTTTATGCAGGAAATAAAAAAGGAATTATAAAAAATGCCTAATTATTATTCTTAAAAAGTTGATGTTATTTAAAAGTACGCAAAAAACTTTATATTTCCAATAGAATTGTAATATTAAGAAATTTAGTCTGATTAGTAATAATTAAATAACAATAATTATTTGAATTATAATAATATGGATAAAAGGACTATAATTTTTAATTAAAAAGATAATTTAAAATAAATAACAGAGTGCTAGGTATTTACTTATTATATAATTATTATTTTTCTTAATTAGTTTAAAATATAATTTATATATTTTTTGTTAAATAATTTAAAATAAAATAAAGACGGAAACAAAAAACAGTGAGTTTAAAATTGTAGAATTTAATAATAAAGAAAAAATATTTTAAAATATCTTAGTTTTTTAAAAAGATTAAAAGCAAAAATTATTATTATGATTGTTATAATAAGCATAATATTTTGTATAACTTATCCACTTATTTTTTGAGCTTTATTACAAAAATAAGAATTTAAATTAATATAAAATTTGAATAATTTATTTATTTGAAATAAAATTAATTTTAATATTAATATAATTAATAATAATTACTTGATAAAAAAATATATTTGTTTTATATATAATTAATTTATAATATAGTATATTTATTTATTATTTCAATATAAATATTTATTTTTTAATTTTTTATTTTATTTTTTTTAAAAAAAATTCTTTTTTTTTAATAATCATATATATATATGTATTTATAATTATTTTATTTTATTTTAATTTAATTTTTATTTTTTAATAATTAATTTATTTTTAAAAATATATTTAATTCTTTTATATATATTTTTATGATAATAAATTAAACATATAATAAAAATATATAATATATTTATTACATTTATAAAAAAAAAATGTCTGGTAAATATAATTCTTTTTACATAATGGGAATAAGATCTTTAATTCTATTACCAACTTTATGGTAATCATTTAATTATTTAACAAAAGAAACAGAAATTTATAATATAAATGACTAATAATAATTTTAAAAAGATTAGCTTTAAATTTATTTTCTAAGTATTAATGGATTTTTTACTTATTTATTATATTTGATATATTTTTTACTAAAAAACACTGTTTTTTTGATATTCTTTTTATCTAAGCTAATATTTACAATACTTTTTATTATTTAAAGAAATAATTATTCTGTAAAAATATTAGTATTTATTCAATTCAATTTATTTATATACATGTATATTTTTGCTTGTGATTTTATTGAATGCACTTTGCAATAATTTGGATTTTTCTTTATGTATTGCATTAAATTAAATATTGCTAAATAATTAAATAATAGAGATACAATATTAAAATAATTAATAAATTATCTATTTTTTTTCCTTCCCTTTACTAAGGATATAATAAAATTAAAAACATTTAAAATGAAAAAAGTACTTATTTATTAAGTGATATGCTTATCAATTTAAACCAATTTTTTTTAATGACTTACAAATGGTTTTTTAAGTTAGAATTTTTGTAGGAATATTCGAATTGTATTTTTATTATTTATCCATTAATTAAAAATATCCTAAAAGGTATTAACTTTTATTTGCTAACTTTTATTTTATCGGGTATTTATTTGATTTGAGATGCTATATTTTATATTTTATTTAAATTAGTTTCAAAATTTTTATATGTTTTTTATTTGCTGGTTTATAAATTTTACTTTTTTCTATAAATAAAAGTACACTAATTATTTGAATTGATACTTTTTTTGAAAAAAATTAAATATATATTCTATTATATAATATATTATTTAAAATTGAATTTGAATGAACTTAATTATAATATATTTTAATTTTGAATAATCATAATTTTAATATATTTTTAATTAATTTATATATTTTTATTGTAATAAAGAATTTGTGTTTGTTTTAATTATTATTAAATTTTATTTTTTCTATTTAATATTAAAGTAAATACATATGTATTTTTCTATTTAAATTTTTATATAATACTTTAGAATATTATAATATATATTATTTTATTATCTTTTAGTACCAAATATTTATCTTAAAAGCAAATAAATTAATATTTATATGTATTGTTTTTATTTTTCATATATTTTTTTATAGTTTTTTTTTTTAGAATATTAATTAGATTTTTTTACAAAAACATAAGTTTATTTAACTAACATTTATTATAAAGAAAAACGAAAAAATTAAAATTTAAATAAACAAAAATAAGATTTAATATACTAATAATAATTATAAGATTTCTTTATATTTTATTTTTCATTTTAATTACAAAAAAATTGATAAAAATATTTTTAAATTTAAAAATTATTAAATATTTTTTTAAATATAATATGATTTCAAATAAAAATATATCCGCCTATTAAATTTTTTCTTATAACTTTTGTTACTTTTAATGGAAATAATTTCTTGCTAAACTGTTTTTTTTTTTTATCAAAGCATAATTACAAATGATATTTATTTCTATTTTAGTTGATTATTTTTAGATTATAAACTAAATTAATTATATTTTTTAAGAGCTTTTTGTTAATTTTTATTAATATATTGCTTATAAATCGAATTACTTAATTTTAATTATTAAAGATATTTTTATAAAGATTTGGAAAATATAGAAAAATAATTATTTTTAAAAGAAAGTTTAGTAATATAGAAAATAAAAGAATTTGAAAATAAAATTATAAGAAAAAAATTAATAAAATTTAAATTTAAAATAAAAAGTAGTGAAAAAAACAACATTTATACATATTTTATGCAATTATTATTTTATTAAAAACATTTTATTAATTTAAAAAATTAAATTTATAAATAAAAATTATTAATTTATAAATTTTAAATTTATTTTTAAAATGATTTTTTAGCTTAATTTTTACTAAAAAAAAAAATCTTTTTTATTAATTAAAAAAATTAATTTATTAAATAAATATAAAAAATTAAAAAAAATGAAATTAAATTTCAAAAAAATACTCATTATAATTTCTAAAATTTTATTTTTTTCTTCAATTTTTTATAATGTAATCAATAATACTATAAATGTAGATTTTTAAGTGGGTAAATATTAAAAACTTTTTAAAATAAACATTATTAAAAAACTAAATTTTGACTAAATGACTATATTCTTCATAACATTTTTTATATTTTTTACGATACTTATAATGGAAATTATGTCTTGCTATTATATTTTTTTTAATTACAATACATTTAAAAAAGTATATATTATGGTATTTCTTTTTGAACTATTTGTTAGTCTATAAACAGAATTTAATACTGAAACAAATTTATTAAGGGCTGCTTTATTTGGTGTCCTTATTTTAATTAACGAAAAAGTAGATTATTTTAATTATCAAAAAGAGATTGAAAATAAAATGGAATGTAATTTGAGAAAATTACTCGAAAAAACTGCTTAAGAATATTAATTTTAAGATAGTTTAAAAAAATATAGATAAAAGACCTTTTGAAAACAAAACAAAATAAAAAACACAAAAATTATATATATATAAAAATGACCTATGTGTCTTAATCAATTTTTAAAATGAATTTTATTTATTAAAAATATAAAAAAAAGACAAACAAACAAAATTTTAATGTAATATTATTTATTTTAATAAAAATATAAGTAATAATATTTATCATATTTTATGTATAATATTTTTTTTATTCAAAAAATAATTTCACTATTTGTAATTTTCTTATCTTTGATGCAAGTCTTTAGTTTATCATATTATATTTTTTAAATAGGATTTCTAATTATTTAAAGAGTATAATAATAAAAATATATTATTAATCTTTATATATTAAATAAGTTTTACAATCTAAGATCAACTCTTAAAGTGCTAAAAGTAGGAAATTTACTGAAACTATTTAAAAAATACTTCATTCCTTCTTCAAAAATTTAATTGCTTTTTTATTTTTTTGTAAAAAAGAATTTAAATAATAATAAATTACTCATACAAACCTAACCATAATTTATCTAAACATCGCAAATTTAAAATATGTTCTCCTAAATCAATCATT